AAACTTCTGATGGGGACATGGTGAGATTATGGCAGAATAAACATTTTACTCGAATTTTTTAAATTACTACCAAAATGCTGAGATGCTAAAGATTATTGAAAAATATTCTTACCTGATAATCTAGAATCAGCAGTCTGCGCACCATGTCCATTGCTCCCCCCTGCCCATGATCTGTACCCAGGATTCCCTGTCGTGTTTGAGCTGGCGTTACATTCTGTATGTCTTGAATATACGGCTTGTACCCCTCCTTCGCCTCCGGCTATTATCAAAGGTGTGTCGGGTCCTTTCACTACAAATGTACCTCCACCACCGCCAGAAGAATCAGACTTCTTGTTTATTCCTCCTTCTTGACCTACAAGTACCTGGATGACTTCACCCTTGTTTAAGCGGAATGTTCCAATCATTCTTGCTCCTCTTCCGCGATACTGAGAGCTGTTAATCCGTCGATCGTACCCTCCAGCTGCCCCTATTACTTCTATTCTGTAATCACCAGTGTACGGCACAGCCCACTGTTGAATACCGCTGGACAGAGCAACTCGTCCGTCGTGATCCTGACCTGCGTAGTAACTTCCGAGCGATGTTGGACCATATCTTCCAGTGGCATTGAGATTTGAGAACACGGCTTTGAATACTGAGAGGAAAACGTAAAATTGACATCCATCTTTTTATTAAGTTGTAATGTCGTCTTTATATCGAATGTTTATGCTTAGTCTGGCAGCTGGTATTATGATCAGTTTAAACAGCTGAGAGAACAAATACCTATCATTAAGCTCGTTAAGGGCAGTTCAGATCTTAAGTTTTCCTACTCTGGTAAAGAAATTTGAAAGTAGTTTGATAATTTGGAGGAAAATATGGGATACGCGTTATTTATCACAGGAGGAGTCTTCTCGTTACGAATATAATTTCCGAGCGCTGATCGTTATTGGGTTTTTTGCGTGAATTTCCTGTGTGAACCACTTCAGCGCAATTTGTGAAGAACTCTTCTTATTTAGTTCCTGGTCATTACCACGATTCAATCCTAAGCCCATTAAATGTAAATCCGTACGATCTTGATTTCGTAGATTTCAGGTTGTTTCAGTGTTCATTTGGTAGAGATAAGGTGTGCTTGCATAGTACTTAGGATAAGTATTTCCCGTTGTCACAATTTACGTCGAATGATAAAGTACCTGTCTGAACTGCAATGATCGAAGTAAGTGTTCATTTTAAACGCACATTTTGTTAGAGTTTATCTCTGGCACCGTTTCAAGGGGATGACGCAAATCGTTATCAGTTAAACTTCTGAAAAAACTCTTAAAAAAAAAAATTACACAACATTTCTTATACTTACCGCAATTGAATCCTGTTTTGCATTTGCATGTGTAAGAGCCGTCTGTGTTATTGCAACTTGCATTATAGTGACAGCCATGGATGTGGCTGGTACACTCGTCCACATCTAAAAAGTTTGAAAGTAAACAAGAAAAGGTTGGGAAAATCAAATAAAGAGAAATCATAGGAACAAATTGCGATAAAAAACTATTGTGGACTATTTAAGAAATTTTGAGGCTCGGACGAGGACCAGTGATCGATTTTAGTTGAAAAATTTTCCCCATTTAATATGTTTAATACTTGGAATTCATTCAAAG